AGTAGTGTTATACAAAAACCTGAAAAGTTATGTTTAACAGCTTTGAAGTTTTGAAAGAGATGTGATACAGTTGAAAAAAATCTCTCATTCGTCCAACCTTCGTTTTGAAGATTTTTTTCAAAATGACGAATTTTTTTAAATGCACCATCAGTCACATCGTTCACGGCGGACTGGCTGATTGAAGGCAAGCTGTTGAAGCTCTTGAATTTAAGGTTCTATCACATGCCAATGAAGCAATTTTATTAACTTCCAAAATTCCTATGTTGATCACTCATGCTTGTTTTCAGACGTCTGTTGAAAGCTTATTGGTTTTGTGATTCAAGCCAAAAACACCGAGTTCTTCAGGGGTTACGATACTGAGCTAATACCTTTCAAAATACATTTAAATGCAAGTAGTTTGCTTTTAATATTGACCCTGAATTGTGCTTACTCTCAACAAAAATCTCGGAAAGAAAAAGGGCCGTGTCCGCTACACTAGATCGCAGTGAGATCATTATTTGATAAAAAACTACGTAAAACTTTGATAACAGAATAAGATCAGTTTTTGATATTATAAAGTTCTTACGTTTGAGCTCAAGTTATTATATTTGAACTCAATTTCAAAACTGAGTGATATCATTTTGATCTCAAACTGATATATAAAAAAATCATCATATAAATCATATATCTGCGTGATATTATTTTGATATCATATTAATACTCATAAAGATATCATTCTGATCTCATAAAGATCATCATCATACCTATCATGTTATAACGTCATAGATCTCATAGTATGAAATCATTATGATACTTTACCAAAAATTCGTCAGTAGTAAAATTTAAAGATTATTGTAATATTTTTGTTATTAAAATATTAGAATAAATGAAAACTTATGAATATGAATAAATTTTACTTTTACAACCATTCACCATACTTTCTATCCAAATTTCTCTTAAAGCATTCTGTAGTCCTGCTAGAAGAACAATACTATAACTTACAACTGTAAATAAAAGTGTTCCAATTAACGCTTTTAGTAGCTAAAGGAAGATAAATTCCAATTATATAAAGATTTAAAATGAATGTTCAATTTTTTTTTCAAGAAAATTTGTTTTATTTGAAAAAGTCAAATGCATACATATATGTACCTAATGTCGCATACACAAAGCACACTTTGCCCGATTTCGCCTTGTTGAAGATTTTTGATAAACATGGTTTTTCAATTTTTTCCGTATTTGTTTTTGATAAAGTTATACATTTTCTGTGGTGGTTTTTATTATAAAGTTGGTATTTATTGCTTTTGATAATGATCTACGTTTGTAAATTTTGAAATAAATACTTTTCGACATTTATCAGAAACTCATAGTTTTGATCTTAATCATTTAAATGAGATCCCGTCATTTTTTCTCAAACTTAATCGGTTTTTCAAGCAGTTAATTTTTCGATACTATTCTGCTTTCCAGTTTTTTTATGTATTTATAGGCGTTTTTATAGATAAACGTTAGTTTTAATAAATAAGTGCTTGCCTGAAAGATATTACAATTACTAATACACTGATAAATGAATAATAAATAGATTTTAAACAATTATTAAGCAAAATATACCTTGTTTTTTTACATAATTTCAATATTTTTCAGATTTTATTTTCTAGTAAATCAATCTATTTAGTTTATTATTTAGTTTTTCTCTGTTAAATTATCCATAAACTTTGATGATAAGGTGTTAGATTTAAAAGATTGTAAAAATTAGTCTATTTGCTTTAAGCTCTATCGAGAGAGAGAGAAAGAGAGAGAGAGAGTAAGAGAGAGAGAGAGAGAGAGAGAGAGAGAGAGAGAGAGAGAGAGAGAGAGAGAGAGAGAGAAAGAGTTTGTTAGCTTTAAATTATTCATCGAGTTTTCAAGTTCCATATTTATAGTGGTGAAGATTTTTGTAATATTAGAGTGAAATAAAAAACTTGAGTGTCATCAGCAAAATGATTTAAATTTCAAACTACTATCTTATAAGTAAATGTCGTTAATATAAATGATAAACGTTAAAGGGCCGAGAATAGATCATTAGGTTCTCAACAAGTAATATTTTCTAATTGGAACAGGTTTGTTAATATATATATCTATATATATATATATATATATATATATATATATATATATATATATATATATATATATATATATATATATACAAGGTCTTTAAAGTAGAATAATAACTAGTATAAGTATTAAATTATTGGTGGTAGAACAATATATATATATATATATATATATATATATATAATATATATATATATATATATATATATATATATATATATATATATATATATATATATACATATATATATATATATATATATACATATATATATATATATATATATATATATATATATATATATATATATATATATATATATATATATATATATATATATATTGTTCTACCACCAATAATTTAATGCTTATACTAGTTATTATTCTACCTTAAAGATAAATATATATACATTTAGATTTGGGAGTTGAGAATTCAATTATTTTAATAAATATATATATACATTCAACTAGGGAGTTCAGAATTCAGAATGGGAGCCGGTTGTGCTTGTAAAATGGCGATTCAAACTTAGTTTAAATATTTGTTGAACATCATTGTATGAACATCAAATTATATCTATAGCTGCATAAATAACTCATTAAGATCGACTTATTATCTTGTAACTGTAATTATTCAAATCTTTCATTTTGTACGAATAAAAGGTGAAAATGACAAAAACAAAAAAACACTTAAGCCCACATAATGCTGATAATTTAGATGAAAACAGTGATCATTCAATATCAAACTAAAAAACCTCTGTCTTTATTTGCATTGAATGTGAAATTAGTATTCATGGAAAAAGTGTTGAATGTGGATTATGTAAAGGATGGTGTCATCTTAAATGCAGTAAACTCACTAATGATGACTTTAATGCAATAACAAAACTAAAAAAATCCAGAGTTATATGGTTTTGTTTTAAATGTGAAAAAAAACTTGTTAAAATGAATAAAAACGATAAAAAAGTGAAATATACATTTATAAAAGAATTATATACTGATAACAAAATATTAAACAAAGAGATCACAGAACTAAAAATTGAAAATGAGTTAATAAAGAAAGAGTTGCAAGATAAAATAAAAATAAAACAAATCCCAATAATATCAAACAATGTAAATAGTATATCTGAAAGAACATTTAGTGAAATTGTTGTCAAAAAAATTAACAATCATGATAAAATTAATACAAAGAAGTTGAATTAGGAGTAGAAATTCAACATATCCGAAATCAAAATAATGAAGTAATCATAAGGTGCAATGACGAAAAATCAAAAGATACACTCTATCAGGAAATTAAAGGAAAATTAGGTGTAAATGTCTCAGTTGAAAAAGGTAACACTGAAAAAATGAAAAAGATTGAATTTAAGATTACCAAACACAATGAGGTATTCAATGAGATATTGGCAAACAGTATAATAGCTCTAAATAATTTGAATAGTTAGGCTAAAGTCATAGTTGTGAAAAGAATTAACATGTCAAAAAAAAAATATGAACTGGTTATAGCTGATATAGATATTAACACATATGAATACATTATAAATAAGAAAAATGGTAGATTAGCAATTGGCTGGGAGTCTGTGCAAATTCGAAAACATATAAATATTATTCAATGTTACCATTGTCAAGGTTACAATCCTATTGCAAAAAAATGTCACTTTAATACTCCTTCATATTGCTACTGTTCAGGTGATCATTACAGTAAAGATTGTCAAAATCACGAAAGTAATTGGTGTGTTAATTGCCTTAGCAAAAACAAAAAAATTCAATTTAATGATAAATCCTCAACATTGTGCATTCGATAAAAAATGTCCAGTATATATAAAAATAGAGTGGAATTAAAGTATGACAACTAGCAATCAATAGCAGTAAACTAAATTAAAATTGTATATACAAATATATATGGTCTCATAAATAAACTTGACAGAGTTACACTATATGTAAAAAAATTTAAACCTCATATACTTGGATTAAATGAAACCCACATAACATCCTTAATCTTTGAAAAAGAACTTGAAATTTTTGGTTATTCTTTTATAAATTTAGAATCATCAAGTGCTCATACCGGTGGTTGTATATTATATTATAAAAATTACATAAAAGTAAATTCTGATCCTAAATCTATCGTAAAGGACAAGTGTTATTGGTTATTATATACTGAACTAGTCATTAACAAAATTAAGTTTCATTTTAGTGTTTTGCATAAATCTCCACAGGAGAACAAAACAATCTTCTTGGAGTTTTCGATACTTGGATTACTACAATTCATTCAAAAAATATTATCATTCTTGGTGACTTTAAGATAAATACAATTTCAAATGACAAACACTCTATAGCACTAAAGCAATCTATCAAAAATAATCAAATGTATATTCAACAGTAACAAAAATATCTGAAAAATCAAGTACTTGTATTGACTTAGCAATTTCAAATTGTACTTTTATCTAAACTAATGAAAAAGAAAAACTTTCTGATCATGAAATGATAACTTTTAAATACTATTTCAAAGAAAAACGACGATTCAAAACTAAAAAAGCAAACAATAGTGTTGTCAACAGTAGTAAACAGAACTTCCATAAAATTGATTATTCTTTATTAAATAAAAACATTTCAGTTGAATTAAAAAATATAAAAAAAGAAATTGATATTGAAGTAATGGCTAATAGTTATACAACAATTATTAAAAATAACATAAATATGCAAGAGAAGTTTTATAAAACGAATAAGGAAATCAACAACAACAATCCATCTATTCTCAATAACTGGTTAAGGAATTCTAAATACACCGATACAGTGAAAGAATATAATCAAGAATGGAAAACATATGTTTGGTTTAAATACCATAGTTTTAGTGAAAGTAAATGTAAAATACAATATAACAAATTTAAAAAAACAAGAAATAAAAAAACATCACTAATAAGAAAACTAAAAGTTGATTACTATAAAATAAAAATGGATTCAGTCTAAAATGATCCTAAAGCTATGTGGAATTTGTTGAAATATCTAACATCTGTCAAACCATTAATTAAATCAAATATAATGGATGATATTAAATTTGACGAAGAAAATGTTATTAGAGGTTTTCAAAGATATGACACAAAAAATCCATTCCAGGTATATATAATGAATTTTTAGTCCAAAGTATCATAAACATTGAAACATCAATTCAAAGTGATATGAGTTATAATGCTATGAAAAATTTATCACTAAATGATAATATTTCTTGTTTTTGTGAATTTACTCCTTTAACTATGCAAGACTTAAATGATATAGTAAATCAATTACAAAACAAGAATTCAATGTGTGAGGGTTTAAATGTCATTATATTCAAAGAATTTTACTCATCATTTTCAAGTATTCTATTAAAAATTATTAATTTATGGTTAAAAAATGGGAAAGTTCCAACTAAATGGAAAATGTCAACAATCATTCCAATTCCAAAGTTAATGTCGCCAAAGTTACCACAAGACTTAAGACCAATTAATATGTTTCCTACTTATGAAAAAATATTAGATATTGCTGTTCACAAGCAGTTGTCAAGATATTTTGAAAGTAATAATTTTTTTTATAATAATCAATTTGGTTTCAGATAAAATAGATCAATTGAATCAGCTATTCAACTACTACTTTTTCTTTGAACAACAATAAGTTTGTTGTAACAGTAATGCTAGATATTAACAGGGCATTTAAAACAGTTAATAGAAAAATTTTTATACAAAAGTTACAAGCTTATAAAGTTAAAGGTACAGTTCTCAATTGGATTGCAGACTATCTTTCGATAAAAACTCAAGTAGTCAAAATAAAAGGTGAAGAATCTGGCGAACTAGTTTGTGATATAGGGGTTCTACAGGGTAGTGTACTTGGACCTCTTTTGTTTATCATTTACATGAACGATATTGCATCAAAAATTGAGAACTCTTTTGTAAATTTGTTTGCTAATGATACATTGGTTTGTAATGAGGGCACAAACTTCGAAGAAACTATTTTTAAATTAAATCAAGATTTAAAAATACTTTGTAAACGGCTAAGTAATAACAAACTTAAATTAAATACTCATAAAAGTGATATTGGATGATGTGGTCATTGAATTTAGTGATAGCATGAAATATCTAGGGATTATAATTGATTACCAATTTAATTTTACTGAACATATCAAATATATTTCTAATAAAATTGCAAAGAAAACTGGATATCTTGGTAAAATAAGCAAATACTTAACTCATTGGACCAAAAAGATAATCTTTCAAAATATAATTGCTCCTCACTATGAATACTGTGCTTCTATTTTTCTTGATGTCATCATAAATAACTTAAATATCCTAGAAAAACTTCAATTATATTAAAAAGTCATTGGTTAACTTATTAAACAGAAATTTTAAAGTTGTTGGTTGGATCAGTGTAAAAAAAAAAATAATTTTTAAATCACTCTGTTTCATTCACAATGTTACATCGACTGTAAATGATATATTTAAACCGTTCTATTCAAAAAATAGCGAGTTACATCAACATTACACTAAGCAAGCTAGTTATTTTCATAAAAGCAGCCAATGCAATAGAGCAGGACAGAAGTCATTGTTTGTGTTTGGTTTGAAACTATACTAGGAAATAGCTGGTGGATTTGTTCAGCTGGACTACAAAAAATTCAAAAAAAAACTGCTTCAAACACTAAAGAATAATCAACTTATATAGTGAACATTTATTTTGTAATTGGGATTATTTATTTTGTATAAGTTACTAAACATGCATTAATTTTCTAAATAAATAAATAAATAATAAAAATAATAATTTAAGGGTTGTAATAAGATAAAGTAATCAAATATTTCAAACAATGTAGTTTTAATGACAATCCAACTAACCACTCCAACTCCCAACTTAGATTGACTAGGAATACTGGGATTAGGTTCTAGCTGGGAATAGATTTGGATGGTTTCATATGGTGTAAAGATCTTATATGCAAATTATATCTGTGTTTCTATTGGGTTTGCCATGAGGCTTATGTGAATGGTTTACGGTTGATTAGAAGATGGGGCTCAAATGGGTATAATGATCGCATTTTTTTCTGGTTAAGAGCAATTTTATTTGCATCTTTTTCATTCAAAGTTTTTAAATAGATAAGATAAAAAAAGCTTTAAATAAGACTTCCAGAGCTTCAAGAATAGCATTACATTAGTATCGATTTGCTTTTCACAGACTTGGATGGTTAGAGAAGTTTAGTCTTTGCGACTAAGGTCTGGAGTGACTAAGGTTTCCATCATTCTTTTTCATTGTTATTTTGTGACTTTGGTCTTCATCTTTCTTTTTTGTTGTTAATTTGTTGAGGAAGACCTAGATGAACAGCTTGTTCATTTTTTTATCCTGAAAGTTAATTCGATTCATTTCTAAGAAAAATTAAAATAAGATAGAGATGTCTCGTGCATGTAGGCTCGCTCGGGTAACATTTTCCAGTTGGTGAAGCCTTCTTTTTTTACAAAATATGATTTTTAATTTGGGCCAAACGATTGACAAGAAAGACAATAAGCTGAATCTGCTTCTGAAAATTTTATAAGCCATCTCTTTTTTACTTTTTCACCATTTCTTGCAACCCTCTATTGAAATTTATTTGAGAAATTTTTAGGTTTTAGGATATTTCTTATCGCTCATCAGTATAGGTATTGAATCCATTTTGATGATGCAACCTCTATCTTATACAGCCAGGAGTTCCAACCAAGCAGACGGGTCATTAAATAAGAATCTGCACTTATGTCAAAACTTTTGTTGTGATTGTGATACTATCATCTGTTTCAACTATTATAGACTTTAAATTACATTCAGGCTCTTTGTCTTTTTTTGATGCTTCTCGAAATTGTTGTCCGAGGTTGATGAACAGTTGGCAAAACAAGCTGAAGAAGTTGAAACACCCAACAGAGGGTTACTCAAACTATTTTTCTATTAATTAGATTTAGACAGTTTTTCTAGATGTTTTTAAGGAGTTTCAATCACATAAAATGTTCAATTTACAAGTTTGTAAACTTAGAGAAAGAAAAAAATGTGTTAGCTTTGGCACTTTATTTAACATAGCTTCATGGGCTGCTTTAGAGCTCTTAGCTAATTTTTTTCTTTAAGCACATGACAGTTTTTTCACATCTTCAATAAAATAAATTTCAAATTCAAATCAAACAGTAGAAACCCGTTTTTTTTTGCTGGAAACATAAATTCTCCAAAATGTATGTTTTTTAATTCATCATTAATGTCACTACTGATTACAGTTTTCAACACTATTAACTTCAATGGTTTTAACAATTTACTGTCTCGTTGGTTTATTTATGTTATTGTCAAAACAAACATGAGTTTAGCGTTAATAAGCGAAACAAACATGAGGTCAGCATTAAAAAACGAAACAAAAATGAGTTCAGCGTTAATAAGCAAAATCATTAAAAAAAATTATTGACGCCAAAAAAACTTTACTTTTTAAATAAAATGAATCGTTTAAAAATAAACAATTTAAAAACAAAACAAAACACCGACTAAAAAAGTTAATAAATATATAAAATATTTAAAGAAATGTTAAAAAAAAAAAAATTTTTAAATGGACCAAAAAGTAAAAAATAAACTTTTTCTCGGGACCAATGGACTTTGTGGGTGTACACCACTTGAAACATACGTACACCACTTGAAACATATGTACACCACTTGAAACATACATAGTCAATGATTAAAAATGTTGGGCGCAAGAAATGGTAAAGATATTTTATGAAGTTTTGAATAACGTTATATAAAAAAAAAAAAAAAATTGCAAAGGGACACTACAGACCGCGGCGACCGGTTAAGCGTGCCCCGGTTACCCCTCCCTTTAGAGACGGCCCTTGCGACGTACATATATAGCACTGTAAAACTTTATAAAATTTTCTGGACTGTTTTAGATGTTTTTAGAAATCTCTAAAACCTTCTAAAAACTTTCTAGATTCTTCTAGAAGTTTACAGAAATTAGAAATTAAATGCTACCGAACAACGCTAATAACTATAAATGATTCTGTATTTACCAGACGGCAATCAAATGATATAATGGCACTTAAATTTATTATTATTTTGTTTCAGAAATATATTGAAGTATTATCTTCAACTAAAATGTTCTTTAAGACAAGTGCATCTTTTACTGAAAAAAGACAACAAGACAATCTGGATGAATAATCTCGTACGATTTTATAAGTAACATAGGAAAAAAGAACTGTTCCATTAAAAAAGAAAAAATCACTGGAAGATACAAAAAAAAGAGTACCACTCAAAATCCAAATTTTTGATCACTATCTGTTCCTAGAAGAATCTATCAGATAGAGAGACGAGAACATAGAGCAAATTAAGAAAAAAGTAACAAGTTTATGGCAAAAGAAATTAAATTTTTCAATTTTATTATCTTCAGATTAAAACCAAAGGGCTGGTCAAATATTGAATTGGTTTACTTACCAAATGTACAATGTAGGCGATCATCGAAGCTATGTTGCAGTTAGTACGGCTACGGTAAAGCGTTAAAATCTGAAAAAAATTTGGAATCAAGAACCATTGAGACTGAAATTTTGAAGAAAAATCAGTGTGCAGAACGAGAAATCAAGTGTTTACAAGATCTTTTTAACTTATGTAAAAAAAAAAAGAACCTCTAGCTTAGATTTATTTTTTCTAACAAAGCATAATGATAATTATGCTTTAATTAAGAAGAACACTAAACAACATTTTTTTTGATATGCACATTTTTTCGATAGATGCTTTTCGAACTTGAAGAATTGTTATTTAAATTTTTTATTATTATTAAATATATATATATATATATATATATATATATATATATATATATATATATATATATATATATATATATATATACATACATACATACATACATACACATATATATATATATATATATATATATATATATATATATATATATATATATATATATATATATATATATATATATATATATATATATATATATATATATATATATATATATATATATATATATATATATATTATATATATATATATGTATGTACAGGGGCGGGTTTAGCTTTTTAAAGAAGTTAGTCAAAAAAGTCGGTTGCGGATTTTACCGCCCCCTCCCCACGAAAGGACGGGGGAGGGATAAAGATGAATTACAAAAAAAAGTACCTACCCCATTTGTTTGATAAATAAGTTATTCAAAAAAGCGGCTCGAATGGTATTGCATATTTAAAAAATAGGCACAACAAACTAAGTAAAAACAGGCTACTATAATATTATTAAATTACAAGTTTAATATACAGTATGATTAATTTATAATAAAATATTAAAACATTTTTTCTAGGTATGTAGTTTTTTAATTCAAAAAGTACAAAGTGAAAAGTGCTCTGCTTTTCACAAGTTATTAAACGATCAAATATTGTTTTGCACTTGAAGATATAGTTAAAGACATAGCGATATTAATATATATATATATATATATATATATATATATATATATATATATATATATATATATATATATATATATACATATATATATATATATATATATATATATATATATATATATATATATATATATATATATATATATAGTTTTAAAACTAGCAAGGATTCATTAAATCTACAAAAATAAAATATTGTCTGTGGTATTCAAATATTTTGTGGGCATCATTATTGTGTATAATTGCAACATATATAAATAATACACCTGTATGAAATATAAAAAATCATTAATTGAATAGGCAAGGTTTGCATAGTTAGGTGACTTGCAAATAGAATAACAACTTTGTAAAAGTAAACAACTGCAATAACATTAATACTATAATTATAAAAAAATGATAATGTAGTTTATTAGCATGACTATCATACTATAAGAAATGCAATAACACAAAAGCAATAATATGATAACTTATCATAAAAACCCATTTTTTTATTTTATTCCATTGATAGATATGTTATATAATGTTAAACAATTGTAATATTAATGTTCGTAAACAAAGTTATGCTTACGGTTAATGTGTTACTTGTGTTTATTTTCTCTAAACTGTTGACTAATGATCAATAAAGTAAACTTCAAATAATGAAAGCTTACTAAATTAAAACTATATTTCAACTCAAATAACCACACATGGTAGAATCTCAAGGTCGAGCTGGAAAAAAAAAAAAGCATATAAAAGACAATGTATATAATGCTCTTAATTAAAATATGAAAGATACAGTACATAATGGTACCAGTTTTGATTAACAATTGACAGGTAAAACTAAAGATAATTAGAGAAAAAAAGAATACAATAAAAATAAGACATATTTAAATTTATAAAGAAAAATAAAATAGCAACTAAAATAAAATAAATAATTCTTTTAAATAAATAAAACAATAAAAAATAAAATAATTATATTTTTTAATTTAAAAATTATACAAACTTTCTATTTGAAGAAGATCTTGAAAATACTGAATAAAGATTTGTATATACAGTGTATATACAAATCTTTATTTAGTATTTAATTTACAATGTAAAAAACACATAAATTCTTCCCTAACATCATAGGAATTGTCTATAAATCTAATTACTAAAGACAAATATTCCAGTCAGAAACTTCATCAGCAATAACTGAAAAAAATTGGTTTTCTTTTATTTCAGAAATCAAAATATTTTGGATGTACTTTCCACAATAACTTATTAATTCATTCTGTGAGAAATTAGAAATATAAAATGCATTCTTTGCGCAGCTGTTGAGATAAAGTTCAAGAATTTTAAAATTTCAATAAAATTACCTACTCCACCTTCTAAAGAATATTTGCCAATGACCATCACAATGACCACTGAAAGTTATATTAAGTTGACCTAAGAAAATGATTTTCTTACAAAACAACTTCTTACAATTTAAAGCAATCTCCTTTTCATTTTCCTTATTAAAATATCTATATTTTAAATATTTCCATTCATAGTATTTAAAACTGCAGAAAATATAGTCCAGGCATTATAATGTAGAATTTGTACTGCGTGATGATGTTCATAAATATTTCAGCTGAGTGATATTCATAACTATTCCTGTTTTTCCCATGGTAATGTCTATTAGAAGTGCTCACAGCATCTGGCCTATATTTGAATGACTGAAAATACAAATTTTTAAATCTAGAAGCTTTTGAAGGGTATTTATATCTAAACAAAACACAACACAAACAAAATGCTCTATCTTCAGAAGGTGAATATCTAAGCCAAGAAAATTGTTTTAATGATAAAAGTTTTTAAAGATTGCCCATTTGTTTTTGGAAAAGAAGTTTCATCAGGAACAAAAACATTTTGAATCAAATTTTATATTTGTAAATCTTTCAAAGTAGAAGCCTTCGAACGAAACAACAAATTGTTAATTTGTTGTTTCGATATCTGATGCTGAACATAGAATACAAGGTTCAATATTAAGATTAAACATAAATTCATATTTTAGGAGAGAACTGTTCTATAGTAACACTAAACTCTTGTAGAACACACAGAAAGAGCAAGAACGCAAACCATAAAAAATCTTTACACATATGAAATGTTTATTCCTTAACAAGGTCATTAATTTTCCTGGTTCTATAAAATGTGTAGTACAGACGCTGCTAACAAATTATCAATTGATAAAAACTCATTTGGATACATTGAGCACAAGCTTACAAACAATGGATGATTACTGTAAAAAGAGGCATTTAAATATAAATCAATTGCTATTAGTATTTTTAAATCCATTGCCAGACTATTATCACCACACAGATAAATCCAAAATGAGCTAAATAAGCAATTGTCAGTTGATTCAGCTGATTCAGATCTGATCAGATCTGTAGCAGAGCTGTAACTAATCAGAGCTGTAACTGATCACTGTAACTGATCAGAGCTGAAGCAGATCTGATCAGATCTGTATTACAGACTGTAAAAAGGGCAATTAAAAATTTTCAAAGTAAAAAAAAATCTACAATAAGCTCAATGGAAAATAAAATTTAATTTAATCATTTATTTACAATAAATCAATTTGGTAAAAAGTTGAACCAATTAGATCAAGGCAAAAAATGTATTTCATAATATTATTACTATAGAAATTTACATCCCCAAATGAACGAACGCAGTGATAAGATGTTTACAAATTTTTAATGTAATTTTTTATTTTAATTGTTAGGATAAATAAAGTAAATCTTACTTCACCGCCTAGTTGTTCTTGACTCCTGAGGAATGTCGTGCTCTACTCTTTATTGACTGATGATAGGGAGTCATACTCCTAAAGTTTTTCGTGTTCCGTAGCGCATTTCCAAAAGTAAATTTCCCTCCTACCCAATGGGATAGCTTAAAATAGACCACGTGATCAATGACGTCACGATCATGTGACTTGAGTAACCAATGGTATTGGTTAAAAAGGCAAAGTTTGATAGGTTGAAAGTGGTTCTACTATAAAGAAAAAAAAAATCGTTCCGGCATTGTATTTTTTTCATTGTTTTTTAAGTGAACCAATGGGGAATTGGGAATTGGAATTTGCACGTCATAGCATGCGGTGCGCATGCGCAACCCCCAAGAGGGGTTGCGCGGCATGCGCCTTCTGGATTAGGTCTAGACTTTTTTTAATCTGGTGAGTACGTCATGAGATTAAAAAAAAGTGTACTGCGCATGCTTTGTGCGTCAAAGCTTCTATTTTTATCATTTTTAGGATTAGGTTAGCGTCAAAGCTTAGTTTTTATAAAAAAAAAAGTGTACTGCGCATGCTTTGTACGTCAAAGCTTTTATTTTTATGGCGTCAATTATGGTTAGGGTTAAGCCAAGTCTTATGTTTAAAAAAAAATGATTGTATTATATTAAAAAAAAAAATGAATACGAATGGTGACGTTGGTGAAATTATTACAGAAGAAATTATTACAGAAAAAAAAAATATTAAGCGAGAAAATGGTTATAAAATTAAAGTTTTAAATTATTTAAAAAAGAAATGGCGATTTTTAAAATTATTATATAGAATAATTTTATTTCCTTTTCAAATGATTGGTATGGCACTATATTTATTATTTACTATATTAATACCAGAAGCATTTGCAACTTTAGCCGGTGGTTGCGTTATGTTTGGTTTTTTTTGTATATTTGGTTTGATTCAAAGTATTGAATTATACGGTGAAGAAGAAAAACGTATTAAAGACGAAGAAGAAGATGAAGAAGAAGTAGAAAAAAAAGAATGAATATTTATGAAATAAAAAAAAAATGCAAAAATGTAATAAATGATGAAGAAAAAAGAAAATACAAATCCATTGAAGATTTAATGAATAATTTAGATCTTGTTGTTATTCAAGAGTTAAAAATAAAAGAATTGTATAAAATTTGTTTTTTATTAACATGTATTCGTAAAAAATATTTTTATATTATAGCTTTGGATACTCCAGGTTATAAAGAGAAAAAATGTAATTTAGATTTATTTGTTGTATGGAAATTTGATATTCGTAACAAACGTTTAATAATATTATTAAAGCGAATAGAAAATTTTATAAATTATTATAAAGGATTTGAAAAATTTAATTTAAATCATGTAAAAGTATATGGTAAAAATACACTATTTGTTTAAAAAAAAAATGTAATTAAATTTTTTTTTTAGTTAAAAATATCATAAGGATGGGTAAACGGTTAAGGCGATTTTTAAAATTAGTGTTTGATATAGTAACATTTCCGTTTAAAATCATTGGTTTAGCTTTATATGTGCTTTTTACAGTAGAAATACCAGAATGAATAAAGAAAACAAAGATTCAGATTGTCGTTTGATGAAAATAAAAAAACGTCTTGAAAAAAAATTGGAAAAGAAAAAAAAAGAAGCAGAAGAATTAAAATTGAAACAAGAAAAAGAAAAAAAAATTAATAGAACCGTTGAGGTAGATTTTTATTTTACTAAAGAGGATTGGGCAAGTTTTTTAAATGGATTATAAAAAAAAAAAAAAAAGAATATTTTTTAGAATATAGAAAATTCTGAATGGTATTGTGCAGAAAATTCTGAATGGTATTATGATCATAATGGCAATCATATGTGGAGATTTGCAAATAGTCAATTGTTATTAAACACTTTAAAAAAATAAAAAAAAAACTGTTCTATTTTTTAAAGTATTAAAAAAAAAAGTATAAAAAAAAAATAATTGGTTGAATTTTTTTTAAATTAAAAATAAAAAATGCTTGAAGAACAAGTAAAAGAACGAGTAGATGAAGAAATTAGAGTTGAAATAGAAAAACAAGACGAAATAAAAGATTCGATTATAGAAGATATAAATACAGAAGATATGGAAAAAAATAAACCGTTGCAGCAATTTGAATCCAATACACCCGTTGCTGTCGTTAAACCTCAAGAAAAACCGCAAGAAAAACCTCAGGGATTAGGATATAATCCTGCAACACATTCGTTTCCTGTATATTAAAAATGAGAAAAAAAAAACAATTTTTTTAGTAATACAATATATTTTTTTTCTTTTTTTATTGTCCCAATTTATTTATTCCTAAAGATATTCCTCCTGATACTAAACCGCCTAATGCCGCTTTTCCAAGTGTCGGAAGTATAGTGCTTGATAAAAAGGGAAGTATTGCAGCCAGTGGTAAAAATTTTCCACGCATTCTTCTTTTATTTTTATATTTCTTTTTTTTTCCTGTTCCGCGTAAAGGAGGCAAATAAACTCTTCCAGCACCTTTGAGAGGTGGTAAATAAACTCTTCCACGTCCTCTTTTTTTATGCATTGCGTTGATTTTGTAAATATTGAAGCGCTTGTCCTCCTAAATCAGATTTTAAAAGACGTTTAGCAAAATTTTTTATTCTTGTAAAAGTTTTTCCTTTACCACGATGAGATCGTCTATGTTTTTTACAACGTCTACAACGTCTTCGAGCCATATAAATAATTCATGAAATTAGAAAAAAAAATAATGGTTTCTTTTTTTTTTAATATAAAACCAGAGCGACTATAAAAAAAAAAAAACTTTTTAACTATAAGTCTTTGATTCATTATTTTTTTACATGGTCATTTTGATTAAAATAAAAATGTTTGAATATGTTAATTTAAGATGATTTAAATTTAGTTGGCACATAAGTATAATTTTCTTCATCTCCTGTTCCTGTTTGAATCATAGCTGAAGGATGCTGAAAATAAAAAATGAGCAAACCGTTAAATTTAACATCTTGTATAAAATTAACGGTAATCTGAAAAGCGTTGTTGCCAGAAATAATAGCAGGAGGTTTGTCGCTGACAAAATTATAATCGCTAGTGGTATCAATAACTAAGGGATCTGTTTGATTGTTTTTGCTAATATATTCGCCAGGACTTTTAAAAAAGGTGTCATCGTCTGTTGTGTAAAAATCAGCAATGTTATTAATGTTTAATGTTGAGGGTATTCCTCCTTTGCACCAAGAAACATAACTTCTCCATAAAAATTGTTGATCATCTATTTTGCTTAAATCTATATCAACGCTATCACCCGGTGAATTTAAAAATGTTCTCCTAAAATTAGAAAGGGTAATCGATTTGATGATAGTAGTAGACAATTCGCAGGGCGTCATGCAATTTTTGTTTAAATGGTCGTTTTCTTTTTTGCTTAGACAAGATATAATAATGGTGTGAGGTACAACGTCTGACGTTTTTAAGTTTGAACAATTGACAGTGACCGATGTTAAACCTTCTACGTTGGTTACGACTTGTTCGTAATGAGGAAATCGTAACAACGTATAAGGAATATCTTTGTTGTTGTTCATGTATAACGTTTTTTCGAGAGGTATGCTCTGTTTTATTTTGTAAGTGTTACAATAAATTGTAGGATTTTTCATCATTACTCCTACGTTAGCTAAAGCTGTAATATCAGCGTCGGTAATAGGTCTTACGAATTCTAACAATTGATTCATGTCGCTTTCGATATACATTTCAATTTTCATTTCTTTTCCTTTTCCAAAATAAGTTTTTATTTGAAAAAATTCGCAGACAAGAGATAAGGGAACTCTAAACTTATAACCTTTTTCGCTAAGAATGCTGTTTGAATTGACTGTAGGTGTTTGCGAATAAGTAGTTATCATATAAGTTTGATAATCGGCTGGAACACCCGAATTTGCGTTACCATTAGTTACAACATTAAGCCTTATGTTTCCGTTGGGATCTGCAGACGTGAGTAAGGTTTTAGTTTCGTCCCAGGTAGCATCTCTCTCCATATCCTCGCACATTCCCATCATGGCGTTGAGTATTTTATCTCTAAATTGTTTAGTATAACTTTTTTTAATCAAAAGACATTGAAAGCGATCGTAAGCGCGATTGTTAATAGCGTTGTTGCAACAATTAGAATTATTTTTTATTGCATTGGGAAAAACTTTCCATGTCTTTATAAAATGCTTGATAAAATTTTGCACCAAACTTACTTTTTTAGCTTGAGCAGCTTCTGTAGCATCCCCCATGTTAAACGGTGTGCGAGAGTTTAAATTTCTGTAAAGCACTAAATCAAAATCCAATATGTAATCTTGAGGGAAACTCCATTCGTTAAGTCTAAGAGTAAAAGTGACCAAATTATTAATATCAGACGTAGATTCGCAACTAAATTTTTGCATGTTGACGGCAATAACATCATCTTGAGGAAGAGCTGTTTTAAAACCGGGATATTTTTCAGCTAAAATGCTATTGTATTCTTTACTTATGCTTCCGTTGACAGCTTGTTGCATTAAACGATTTTCGCTTTCCGCTTCGTTTAAAATATCATCTATAGATACGGGACCGTCATGATTAGGCGTATAACGGTTTCCGTCTCCGTCTTTCATATATTTTGGCATTGCCCCCATTCCAATCATTTTTTTTATTATTTTTTTTTTTTAAAAAAATATAAGACAAAAAAAAAAACAAAAAAATTTTTATTTTTTTATTTATTAATTTATTTTTTTTTTCAATTTATTCATCATCAGATTCAGAAGTGTTTTTTTTAAATGGTATTTTTTTATTTTTAACATCTTTTAATGCTCGAGTATAACCAAGTTCTATTAAATTTTTCTTATTCCATTTTTCTTTTTTCTTTTTTTCTGTATTTTTAGCTAAATACGGGCTCGAAATTAAAGCTTTTTGTTGTATGATACAATTTCTACACATTCCGTTAACATCTAAAGCGTCTACCGTTTGCAAACATGCGGAACACAAAGAATTTTTAGATTTATTTTTGTTTTTTGGGAGGTGTTTCTCATTTCTTCTCGTTTTTTCTTCTTCTTCTTCATCGTTTTCTTCTTCTTCTTCTTCACTAGATTCTGCATAAGTTACTTTTTTAATATTTTTATCATTTTTTAATTCTTTTTTTTGAGAATTTTTTTTAATATCATTAAATTGTTTTTGTTTTAATTTTTTTAAAGATTCACATTTTTGATCCAATTCTGCTCGAATGTTATTAATATCAGCTTTTGTAGAATATTGAGAAAGTTGATTTTGTAATTTGACTACATAATTTTGCAATTCGTTAATATGATCTTTTTCAGCGTATTGAATTTGTACAGCACTTTTGTTGAACAAATTTTTATCGTATCGTCCTTTAGCGCAAAAAAGAGACATGATTTTTTTTGTTTTTTTTTTAAAAAAATTATTTATTTTAAAAAATTCATTATAATTTATATAATATGAAATAACAAAAAAAAAAAAAAAATTAATACAAATAGTGCAGTTTATTTATTTTTAATCGGAACTCAAGTGTAAAAGGGAATCATTTGTATTTTTAAAGTGGGATTAAAAAAAACGTCAGCAGACAAATTGCTGAATTGAAGCAATTCTTTTTTTGTATTAAGAAAAGACCATTTTGTTCTTTTCCAATCTTCGACGTCGTTAATATCAAACGTAGTCAATTGACCTTGAATTTCAGTTTTTCTATTTTTTGTAAAATCAATATTGACTACGAGTTGCGTAGCGTTATTGTAATCAGCTAAATTAAAAAAAGCCACAATTCCAGGCTCGTATCTTCTGTTCATGTACATACCGCATTGATTAGCTTGATCACATTTGATAAAAATAAGGTTATCGGTAGATGTAGGAAAATTAGAAACGCTGTTATTAAAATTGCTTATTTGCATTAAAGTGCATCTTAAAAAGGCTAATCTTTTTTTTTGAATTCTAAAATCTTGAGTCATAATGTTGGTCATGTTTTGATCCACTTGCATAGTAAAAGGATTAGTTTCGCTGGTTAAACTATATTGATCTCTTTGCAAAAG